ATTTGGGTTTTTTCGTTAATAATGGTATATAACCGCCCTGCCTAACAACAGGAATATTGAACTCATTATTCAGTGAATAATATTCGCGTTGTTAGGCATCAGTGATTGGCTGATTTTAATATTCACTATTATTTGAACCAATCGGGTTTTGAATTGGGAAAAGTTAACAGATGTCAGATTTGTTTATATTTATATATATGTGAATAATAGCTTGCATTATCTCTCTTATAATAATATACTATTAACTTAATTTTTGTGGATATAGGTAATACTCTGGAGAAATGCATCAAAGTGGGTACAAATTAATCAGCCTCTAGTATTGTTTATGGGGTGGCGAGAGTTAAAATCAAAGTTTGCGTAAATCTTATCATGAATTTGCTAACAAGTCCTTAACCGAATGTACTGATTAGATCCGTAAATCCGTTCCCTTAACGACACAATAACGTATCGCTAACAGATTGGCGTCGTTTACAAATGGAGCTGCTGAGAAATAACCAAGGGACTAATTACTAATTACAGCGCCTGCTTCTGTCTAATGCAATAAACCACCTATGCCAACCCGTTGTGAACTATAACCTAGCCGGACGCAAACTATGACCATCTTTTACGCAATTATTTCTAATTTAACAACTCTACCGGACAAAATTTTCCATTTTGATTAATTTTTGAAGCGTAGATAATTATAATTGACCTGACAACTGATTCCCAAGTTACAAACATTAATTTTAAATGTTTGCCTTTAAACCCAAGGGACAAGCATTTCCTTCTAATTAAGGTATTTTAGTAGACGTCTATGATGTGTTTAAAAAAGGGCTTTGTTTAATCAATTTATTTATTTAACTTAATTAATTTGAAAACATATATGTGTGTAGTCTAGTAAAGGAATACATTTTTCCTGTCTTTTTGTCTAGCTTCGGTATAAATTACAAAACACTCTAAAATAAATGGTTTCAGAGACATTTTGTTTTATGCTAAAGACAAAACGCACTTAAGTGACTTGTTCTATTATGTCATGTTAAAGTGCATTTTTCCATTTTCACATTTTCCAGGTAACGTAATTTTGACTTTGTTAAGATGTTCATTTTTATGTTTAATAGATATTTAATTTTATTATAGATATTTAATAAATATTTAATAGATATTTAATTTTGACTTTGTTCAGATGGTTATTTTTATGCTTAATAGATATTTAATGTTTTTGAAATTTTTAACAAAACCTATAAAATCTTTTATAATAATTAAAACATCTGTAATAAAAAGTGTTAAGTTACTTTTTTTTACTATGTTGTTAGTCCCTTGAGATTCAAGATTTTCGGAAAATTGATTGCTGGAAAAAAACGAGTTTTTCCAGAGACGGAAAAAATTAATCTAAATAAAAACTACATAAAAGTGGTATTTCCCAAGTTGATTTTTTACTTGTGTATCGTCGTTCCTAAATGACATAAGAAAAGGTCTTTTACGATTTATTCATAAAACCATATAAAAATAATATTAAAATAAATAAAAAAAAGGTTAATTTGTCTTCTTTGACTAAATTATTTGTTTACAGTCTAAAAACAATCTTGAAAAAAAGAATTGTCGATTGCCGATTATATTTGATATTTTATCTAAAATCTGACAGGTGTCAAGCAACTTTAACCTCACTTTTTTCCAATTGTAACTTAAAGCTAACTTCGACCCGTGGGCGAAATAAAATTTTGCCCACCGGTTTCAGTTAAGAAATAAAATGGCTGTTGAATAATATTATATTATTATAGGATCGTACGACAGATAAGGCAGGCTATTATTCAGGAATATGAGGTTTGCGTAAATCATCTTCAGTCTAATACTAGTATTTTTCTACTCTAATAAGTAGTTTTCATTAGTAACTTAATTTATTATAACCTCACATTTTTCGATTTTAAAGATCATTATAGTCGCCCGTCGTATATATAAAAAATTCTGACATCTGTTAAAAAGTTCCAACCTTAGTTTATAAACATACTGAAAAATAAATAAATAGTAAATAAAAATATTGAAATCGGCCAATCACTAATACCTATAGGCATCAACGTAAGTATTGAGTTTATAATTCCCGTTGTAAGGCAGGGCGGTATAATGGTTACAATTATATACGGAAAAACCCAAATAAAGAAATAAAATATACTAGTTTTATAAACTTAATTTAATACGACTTTAATTATGCACAAGTGGAGTTTGCAAAGCAGGTTTTGAATGAAAAAGTGATCTTGAGAAGTTTATAATATTACACTTTATCTACGACTAACGCAAAGTAATTAATAATTTAAAGTCAATTTTATTTTACATTTTATTTGACATGTGACATTCGTCAAGCGGTTTAACATTACTTATTACCAATCTGACATCTGTGAGACAGGTTTAACCTCACTTTTTCCAATCTGACATTTTTCAAATGGTTTTAACCTATTTTTTTTAAATTTAATGCACTAGTATATTAAATTAAGAAGTAGATAAAAATTCAAAAATTATTGGTGTATTTAAAAATTTTTAAACTAATTAAAAATATAAGTATACCTAATTTCCCAAATGTTATGTTTTTTGTATATTTTTTTTTAATATACACTGTCTAAAGTTCTGCTCACCATTGCTACCATTATCCGTTATTATTGGAGCTATAACTGTATACAAAGTCGGTTAAATAAGCAAATTTGTAGTATTTCTTTTTCTAATTAATGGTGAAAACAGTCAAACGTCGGGTTTCTGAAATATTTACAAACATAACATTTTTTGAAACGGGACACCCTGTATAATTTTAACATATTTTAAAGGAAAATTTAATTTGGATCAAAAAATTATTATTGCCTAACTACCCTAAATTAAAAAATAAACAATTAAGAAGAACTTGAACTTTCTGATTGAAATTTAGGTATAGTTATACCTACTAAACTTTCTTGTTATTTTTCAAATAAAGTATACTTTAGTTGAAAAATTATAAGAAAGTTTAAGTGCTTATTAATTGTTTATTTTTAAGTTCAGAGTAGTTAATAATAATTTTATGTTCCAAATTAAATTGTATTTTAAATTTGTAAAAAATATACAGGGTACTCCATTTAAAAATATATCAATTTTGTGAATAATTCGGAAACCCGACGTTCAATTGTTTTTCTGTTTTTACAATTTTAATCAGAAGAAAAAATGCCACCAATTTGTTAATTGATCCGACTTTATAGCTCCAATAATAACGAAGTTAGCAATGTCGAGCAGATAACTTTGGACAGAGTGTATACCTATTTATTTTTATTAACTTTCTTAACATTAAAAAAAATATATATGTATATAAAGACAAATATTTAATTTATTACATTGTAAACTTAACTTTAAAGTGTAGTATTACAGTATCGAGTAAACTTTTGGAAATATGAGACGGCCACAGCGATATTCGTCCTTTTCAAGCAAAGATATAGCGATCCACAAAAAGATCATTCACTCACTTATGTGGCAAGTTTCCAAAATTGGATAAAACCGCTTTTAAAATTGTTTGAAACCGTGTTACGAAACGTTTCGTTATTTACAATGGCATTGTGTTAAAACTAACTCACTAATATGAGCCGGCTAAAATTGTTCGAGCGACTGAAAATGATGGAATAATATGGCTTTGAAGAAATATCACGTGCCGGTACTTACCAAGGTAAATATTTGCAGTCTGCATTTTTAAATTGTCTTCGAGTTTAACCGAAGCCATACAATTAAGTTAAATTAAACCTAAATCATTCTTGGAATATATATAAATTTTGTTATATTTTTGATTGCAGAATTCGCACAATGCTTATAATATAACATATTATTAAATAACTTGTATAAAAAAAGCATTTAATAATACGTTATATTCTAAGCATTGTGCAAATTCTGCAATCAAAAATATCAAAAGTTAATTTTTTGTTTATAAAATATTTTTTTCTATATAAGTAAAAATTTGGAAAACATATACATATGATAGTAATTGTAATCGATTTTTCCTTTTAAACAATACAAAAATTAATTAAGAAATATATTTTGGTATACCAAATTGATGATGGATGGTTTCTAAAAATAAATTTTACTTAATATTGCCGCTTGGTATAAACAAAAATATCGCCATATTTAAAAATTAAATAAAAACGAAGGTTAATGCAGTTGGTGTTCTATTTAAAATAACCGGTTATTTTAAATGATTAGGTATCACAAATTTCTTACATCTAATATTATCCTATTGCAAGTCTTTATAAAACTTAAATCCTTATGATTACATTTTTAAAGAACAAAAACTTATTAGAGATTGAAAATATGTACTTATACGAAAATCTTAGCAATAAGCCATGTTAAATCATTTTTCTTAATTTTTACATTTTTGACAAACCTCTAAATGACACGTGCTTTGTATGTAAAAAGCGTGAAACTCGCTCAACCTTTTGTAAATCGTGGGAGGCCAAGATTACGCTTTCCCGACGCCGAAAGACGCCTCCTAAAGGGAATTGACGCATTTTCTAGGGGATCGATAGACGCATTTATCAAGGCTTTTTACCTTGACCTACCGAATGCAAGTCTCGGTTGCTCCTTAAACTGGCATTTATCAATGAGCCTTTACTTTTTTGCAGGGTTTTTTTGTCCTTTGATAATGGCACCCCAAAGGGTTTGAGAAGACCTTATTTATGTGTTTTTGGGTTTGACAACCGGTTTTATTTAAGACATTTTATTTAAAATTTAAATAAATGATATTGATTTTGAATAACTTGTCCAGAGTAAACATTCGATGTTGACAAACATCCGAAAGAATTTTAAACAGATGTTTGGAATAATAAAAACACGAATAAAAATAAAGCTTGTTTACAGTTTATGTATATTTAGACTGGTTCTGTGGTCAATTAAATATTCTCGTTTTATGAAAATAGATGACAATAAGCTCTATCCGGAATACATTTGAATACTAATTAATTATGCAATATACCGTTTTTATTGTTTACTAATAGTTAAATGCATCACTAATATAAATATAGACTAACCTTATTCTTTCGGAGAGTTCGATTTTAGACTTTTTCTTGGAATGAGCGTGTATCGGGGAAACACTGGTTTCGCTGCCGCTGGCTGGTGGCGAAGAGGAGCCGGTGCTGGAGGACAGGCTTCCAGCACGGCCACGAGTCTCGTTGACTACGGTGGCGGCGGTGTGTGTAGCAGAAATGGCCAAGGTGGGTCTGACATTGCGATTGCGGCGTTTTTTCTTCTTGCCGGTGTCAATCTCTTCTATGCGGCCGAAAATGTTGCTGGTGGGCGGCGGAGGCATCCAGTCCAGGTCTTTCTTGAGATGACCGCGGCCGCATTTGCAGCCGCACGCCTTGTAGGCCAAATCGTAACCCTTCTTGGTCCATAGATTCTGGTGACGCTGTCTCTCCGACCAGGACCTGGCTCTTCCGCAGGTTTTTAGGTAGGCAAGGACAGTTTGTTCCCACTGATCAAAGCACTCGCGGTGCATATACCGGCCAGCGGTGCACAATTCGTTATTGCAAGTTACGCGAACGGTGTCTCTAAGATCGTCGAGGGAGATGAGCATGGGGTCATTGTTGTTGGGGCTAAGTTGCTGCTGGGCGCGAAGACATTCGCCGTTTGGTACACAGCAGCGGGTAACGTTGACATCTTCGAGGGTATCGATTCCAAGGAGGCCTTGAACTTGCCCGAGATGTCGGCGTGGTGCCATGGCTGCTGCAGCTGCTGAAGGACTCGCGACTCACTACTATGCTGAGGAACGTCGAGAACTAACAGGCAAAAGGTTCGAAAAAAAATCAACAATACTTGTTGACTTGCTGATATGACGAGACGAACGACGACGATACGAAGCGCAGTGAAGATGTTGCGTTGACCTTCGCTAGGGAAGTAATAATCGGTGTATATCACGTGCTGTAAGCGGCTCTCTCGGCAGCCTACTGCAACGATGCACGCACGCACCGCCGGGGAAAGTGGTCTGGAGGGGACGTGCAACCCGAAAGCGAAAGGTAGGGGTAGGAGTGGGGAGAGTCTTTTCGCTTTTCACTTTCAGTTTTCACATTTGACGCAAGCGCCGCCGGTTTTCACTCTCGGCAGCCCTGACCGTCGCGGCGCCAAACACCACGTTGCCTGCCGCCCGCTTGAACCGGCTTCCACCAAATCACCACCGCTTCAACCACCACTCTACCTATACTTATTATCTATATATTCAACAGCACTAGACAGACGCGCGAACCGCCGGTCATTCACCAATTTCAATGTCATATACTTTATTAATAGAACGCGATTTATCTCAATATGTACTAGGGTATTAATAATGCCGTATTATTAACCACTTACGGTAGGTAATACTTGATGATTATACCTACTATTAGCAATTGTTTATTATATAATTTTAAATTTTTTTAAAAATTCTTCTATAAATAAATGTTTTAAAATTTTGCATATTATAGTGTCTTCTTTGTCTTAGATGCAAAACCTTTATTTTTTTTTAATACATCACAGTTTATTTAAAAAGTGCAATAAGAAGTTGCCGGCCTGTTAAAAAATAAAATTTAAAAATGTAATTTGCATTTATATTAATTTACAAAAAGGGTGTATAATTGTATGTACGTGTATAATTACATATGTACGTGTATAAAATATGTACCGTACATAATGTACGCAATAAATATTTTCGAAAAATACCCAATTTTAACTATTGCTTAAGCAAAAATAATTATTTTAGTATTTATTGCTCATTTTCTGTGTGCAGTGCACACTGTGCACATTTAAAAATACTAAAAATTAAATTAAAATATGGTATTGTGCGTTTTGTTGGTATATTTAAGAATTAATTAATTGTTGCAAATGGTAAAAATTACGAGAAAACCATTTTAAAAAGTTACCATAAAAATTATTATTAATTTTTACTATTTTATAGTAATTTTTTAGAATTTCTGAGTGCATGCGTATATCTTTTAGATTTCGTAATCCATAAAACTTTTCCTTAAATTTTCTTAAATTATCTTTACCAGATAAAAGGCAACAAATATAAAATACTGAACACTTTTTTAGGTTTTAAAATACAAATTTTAATACCAAACATATTTACAATACCATATAATGATTTTTAATTATAATATTTTAAATCATATGAAAAAATTTAAACAAATTAACAATTCGATACATACATTGAATAAAATTAATTTAAAACTAATTTTAGATGTCTTTTTTGAGTTATTGCCGTGCTTAGCGGCAGTATAATAAATAAGTTTACTAGCTGTAAAGTTAATTGGTAGAGCCACACAAGGACATTATTTATAAGAAAAGTTAATTAAACACTAATGATTTTAGTTAATAAAGACTGATTTTAAAGAGTTCAATAAATTATGATAAAATCACATACCATAGGATACAATATACAGGGTGTTGAGGAATAAATGGTAAAAAATCAAGGATCTCATAGGCCACGCCAAGACAAGTTTTTTGTCCTATAGGCCCTTTACACATAGCCAAGGAGGTAACGACAGTTATATTTGCATATTTGTATTTAACTGTATCTTGCTTATAAAACCCCATATAGGTATTATGCATGCATGCAAAAGTTTGACAGTTTTGTTTTACAGTTATCAGCATTTTTAAATTTTTTGTGGTAGTTGCTATGGTAATTTCTTTTATTTTTGTAGTTTCTGTTGTTATAGTGGAACAAGTCAATAAAATATTACATTACATTATAACCTAAAAATTTAATACATACTTATTTCATATAAATAAACACAATAATTATAACAAAAATTGTTGTAATAGGCCATCCTCGAGAAATAAACTGAAGCGTCAAATTTTTCGATACAATTGGCTCAAAATCTGAGCATAATATGTCAGCGCCTAAGGGTTAAAGCAATTTTGTATGAAAGTTTATAAACTATACGCTAAAGAAGCATCGTGTTTTCTTAACGCGCGCGCTATCTGGTTGCGCTCGATAGCATTATTGAACACTGCACAAGGTTTGTCAATAAAACATTTAAAGCATACGAAGTTCGTATTACGAACTGCACATAAATTTTAAATTTTTTTCACAAAAGATAGGAAGAAGGAAGTCTTACTCGACAAATTTTGTTTGCAATTGCATAGCTTAACCGCGCACGTTATTTGTGTTTCGCGTTGCAAGTCAAAACTGAAAAACTTTGCTTGGTTTAAGTACTTACTCGATTTGGATTTACTATTCTTTATATGCTTAAGTTACGTGTGTGTTTGTATTTTATCTAAGTGATCATAGTAAATAACATTTAAGTCCTTAAAAAAACGCCAGAAACTTTTCAATTAGTAAAAGACGAAATATATCTACGAATTCATGGCAACATACATATGTAACATACGCGTTTGACAGCTGCTTATTAAATGATGTAGTTTTGTAACGATTATGTCGGCCACGTGGTGGCGCCACTAGGGTAACTTCTTTAGCGTATAGTTGAGAAAAAAATTAAACATACTAGACTTTCTTAAAATGAAATAGTCGAAATTCTATTATTTGAATTAGTACTAGCATTGTTTACTTCGTATTTATTTCACTTTTAAATAGTTACTGTTTTTAAGAGTCAAAAGTAAATAATTTCTTTAATCGTTTTAAATTCTTGTGGCCAACAACGAATTATTGTTAGAGTTAAATGCATGTAGGATCCATGGTTTAAATGGTCCATAAAAACAAACAAATATGAAAAAAGTTTAGCTCAAAACAGCAACACAAAAAACATTTAAATTTAAAATATTATTAACAATATTTATAGACAGCCCCGAATTCAAACCCTGGCTGGATCAAAACTTTTTTAAATTTAAATCTACTAATTGGACTATTTCATTCGGTAAAATTGTGTGTTAGTGACTGCTTTTTCGCTATGACAATTAGTAAAATATGACTTATACCCAGCAAACACAAACGTCCTCAGGACGTCCTTGGACCAGCCTTATGTCCCAGAATAGGATGATCCTATAAGGACGTCCAGAGGACTTCCCCTTTTGGAATATCCTGGGGATGTCATTTTTTAAGGATGTCCTTAATGTCCCAGAATGGAATAAAAATATTAAATTAAAAACATTAATTTTATTTACTAAATAGGTAAAATTGCCAATATTAAACATAATTGCTACAAAAAATCCTAAAAACAAAACTACTTAATAAAGTTATAAACAAATATAGTTGCAATACCTCTTACCGCTGCTTACGCACGCTTGATAATTATAATTAAATCTACCGATAGGTTATAAATATCAGTTGGATGTGATGGCACAGCTGAACAATGATTAGAGTGGGACCGATCTACTATAGTGACGAATAATGACTAGTATATATCGAGTATGTTTAAGTGCAGATGATTTCTTCAGGACCTACATATCCAAAGAAGAAGAATATCCTGTGGGACTTTCAGAGGATATCCTTGGGAGATCCCAATATCCTGTAAGGCTTTTCTTAGGATGTCGTTAAGACCGACTTGTGCTAGCTGGGATGTATTTTCTAATGTCCCGTGGACATCCAAAATTAAGTCCTGAAGACATCCCAACATATGTACCTACTTATGCATGTCCCCTGGATGTCTTGAGGATGGTCCCAATTAAGTCTCAAACTGTTCCAAAAGTTGCTCATTGGGACGTCCCACAGATTTTTAAGGATAATACGGGACGTCCCGGGGATTACTCAAATGTCCCAGATTTATGTTGCTTGGATGTCCAAGGGACATCTTTGTGTTTGCTGGGTAATTGGTTATTTTTGACTAATTCATTTTAAGAGAGAATATTATCTGTTTTACCGTCGCACAGTGGTCCAAAAGCCCAAAAACATGGTCAAAATATGAAGGTTTAGTTATATGTTTACCAAAACAGGGACTTAAACATTTTTGGGTCACTGATTACGAATTTGATATCCTTTTTTACAAAAACAAAATGGCGGATTCAATAAGGAGGACATTTTTTTAACAAATATTCTGATATCGCTTAAATTTGACAACGTGTGGTTTTTGAGGTCGCTAATTGCGAATTTTATATTTATTTTTTTAAAAAAAAAAAATTATGATATCGCTCAAATTTAGCAACCTGTATTTTATAAGGTTTATGAGGTACCTGATAACAAATTTGATATTCATTATTCCAAAAACAAAATGGCTTATCCAATATGGCGGACATTTTTAAAATAAATTTAGACTTTTTTTTGGTTTAAGGATTAGAAAACACATTGAATTTAGGATGGATAAACAAAGTAACGATGCAAAATAAACATTTATTCAATAATTTAAATTATATTTATTCAACGCAATATACTTTAATATAACGCAGTATATTTTAATATAATTTAATATAATTTTTATCAAAATATTCATTATAAAATAAATAATACTAAGAAGAAAAAAGACCACTTCCCAAAAAAAACTTGTTTAATATTTTCAAGAACCACTAATAATTCTCAGGAGTATTTTGAAAAATAAATATGTTTTTATTTTGCTATAGGCTGTAACTTATTTAAATCGTTTGGCAAAACATTTATTTTAATACATTAAATTTTATAACAATTTCATTAATTATTTCCTGATAAAATAAATTCCCTGATATTTCGCGGCTCTACAAAATGTAATGCTACAGCCAAAACCGCAGAAAGCCGCAAGAAATTTTTGTCGATTTATATTTGTTATATCAATATTTCAACTTGAAATTTTAAAACTGCATAAGATCTCGTTGGATGATAACTATTTTAATGCTTTTTATAGGACGAATCGATAAATGTTCATATTATACAGTTGCTTATTCAATGTCATTTTTATATCTCATAAAATATCTTAATTTAGGATTTACAAGTGTGAGATTATTTTACATACCTTTAGGATCACCCTCCATCACACCGATTCGGAAACTGACACCGCGATAATTTGTTTGCAGTGAATTACTCTTGTAGTTATTTTAACACATATGGCGCGTCGAAATACTCTGGCGGAGCTTAATTGTAACTGACCCACAGATGCGAGTACCGAAGCTACCTGATTTTCCCTGTAGTTTAATACGTACAATAGGTCCATTTACCATTTTACATACTCAAACATCACAATTATTCATTAAATTTTTCGGCCATCTTTTTTTGATTTTGGACC